CATGGAATATTCAAAAGAGTTTGATTATTACTTTCACAAAAGATCTTGGATCTAGTGGGAGCCCAATGACAATAAAAAGTTTAAGGGGGCTAAATGGCATAACATAGAGTGACACATGCATATGATGCATGCAACATAGTCTAGTTGGAATGGTCCCAAAGACCAAAAGGGATTATACATGTATATAAATAAGTCATATACATCCTATTATAAAGGGCTCAAATAGGAAGATATTTAGATCGCTAGTTCATGGAACTAATAATGGGTTCTAAACATTGTTAATGTAACAATAGAGCCATAATAGTAGAACCTAGGTCTCATTGGATCTAGAATATGACATGACTTGATGCATAGACATTTTGAAGATAGATAAAAACAATTAACCACATTGAAGGGCACAAACGAGTCTACATGAAGACACGATTGCTAGAGAGATTTGATTCCATATACGATTACGTGGCAATTGGCTCTGTGCTAGTGGGAGATGTTGGGATGAGCCTTACAGCCAATTGGGATTGGTTAAGGCTTGATTCCAATCATGCAACAACATCATTCATTTCAAATGATTAAAGGTTTTTCTTCATCAATAAGACATCAATTATAACTAGTTATAAGTTTATTTGGATAAAGTCCATGAGATTAACATGCCTTGCAAGGGAATTGTAATGAGTTACAGTTATGAGATCCTTATGCATCAAAGCGTAATCTCAAAATGTTCTTGGTCAATGTATCATTGAGACTGGAAATCAATGATACATAGAGATTGGTACATTCTATGTTCCTTACTGGAGAAATAAGCAACCGATCTCATAGGTTGAAGAATAGAGATACTTAGAACTAGAATGTCGGTGCTTTCCTAGGGAAGCAAGTTTACTGAACATGACCCACCATGAAAAGTACATTTGGTATTTCACTCAAGTGTCTATGTAATATTTCTCATGTGTCAATCGTGTAAATACTCGCTAGATTTGAGAAACTAGGTTGTCATATGTGTGGAGTGCTATGCTTTGATTTCATCCCTACGGGTGCCTAACCAAAGATGTCAAAATAGGATGTGTTTGGGTATAGCATGAAGCATGTGAAGGCAAATGAGTGGTCAAGATAGGAATCATCACTCCAAGTGATGCAGGGGAAATATCCTAACTGTTCTTCATTGATATTAGCTTCTTGAAGTCCTTGGCCAA